TTGCCTAGGCTTTGGGAAGAGTTCTCTGGCTATTTTCCTGTTTGATTTTTCTTTTGTGTGTGTTTTGTTTTAAGCAGGACAGAGTGCATGTGTGTATGTAATCCATGTGCTCAATTAAGAGAGGCATCTGTTGGGTTTATTTCACATTGCCGAGGAAGGACTGCAAGCAGGGAGCATCTGCTCAGCTTTTTGTCAATGGCTTGTTTTTCATAATTTGCTCTACAGGGTGAATGTTTGGGGAGGGGGAGGTGGCTTTTCATTTCTGAGTTTCATCTTAAATTTATTTTTACGGTAGCCAGGGAAATTGGCTGGGATTTGAAAGTTAATTTTGCTAAGAAAAGAACTGAAGAGGGAGAAACAAAACCATCCAAAGTAAATAGTATTTATATAACCTTAATAATAGACTTCTAAGGACCCTTATACACCATTATTTGCTGTACCTTAATGACCAAGTAAAAATAATTTGTTATGGCGCTTTTTTAACGCCAGTGGGGGGTTTTTTTGTTTGTATTTTTTAAAAAAGCAGTAAATTTTGGTTAGATTTTATTTTGGGGAACGATAGGAAAGGCACTAAGATGCTTTTTTGGCATTCTGTCAACAACAACAACAAAAGTCTGATTTTAAAATAGAGCAGCAGTGGTTTCCTGTTCTTATAGTTTTTGCTTTTTTGCATTCAGGTGTTGGCTGTATTGCACCTAGCTGCTCTAGCAAAACATTTAATTGTCTGTCAATGGATGTGCTTCCAAGGCTACAAAACCTGGTGGGAGTGTTTTATGCCAGTGTGCTTTTTACACTTTTTTTGGTGGAAATGTCCTCCAAAAGGGCGGTGTCATCACAAATGACTTTGTGATGTCCTGGGAGGACACGGCTGCTGGTGTAGCGTGGGGGACTCAGGAGGAGAAAGCCTGAAACTCCCCCTAATCCTACAAGTGAAAGACAAATCTTGCCCTTCGCAACCAGACAAACAAGGATACAGTCTTGTAGGTGTAGATGTAGATGCTGTGCAGGAGTCACCCACAAAGGGCAAGATTGGGTCTTACTGGAGCTATTTAAAGAAATGGGATTAAAAAGAATAGTAATCATATCTTGTTCTACAAGTGAACACCAAGCTAGCACATTCATTAAGCCACAAGCCACTTTGAAATGGTATTGAATCTGTATATTCCATGCCACAAGTTGTCATGGAAGAGGAAGAGTGGAAGAGTTAATAAAAATAACTTTCCTGACAGTTCAATCCCACACCATAGCAAGGGAATATATATATATATATGTGTGTGTATGAATACAATTTAAATGTTATATTATATAACATTATAAATATGGATAACTCTTCTGTCAGATTAATGCCACGCAGCTGAACAACTTTGTTGACATCAGTTACCAGTTATAAAAGCAGCCAACAGCAGTTGGTGTGCAAAATGTAAATGTGGGCTGACTGCAGGGGGCAGGCAGACAAGCTTCCTTCTGGGGCTCCAAGTAACCTTGGCTGTCACAGAATCATGGAACCAGAAGTGTAAAAGGACAAACCACAGTAAACTTCGCAGTAGCAGGAAAGTATTTTCATTGCTTGAAAAAAAAAATAAAATTCAAACTTTGTCATCACATTAAAAACATTACATGAGAAGTAATAAACATATTTACACTTCTGTTTTGATTATAAATATACATTATATACAAAATAATGTTATAAAACGTAGAAAGTTCAGTGCTTCTGATTTTTTTTAAATTACTGAAATACTAGTCTTCAAAATAAACTACAAACAGACAAACTAAAACCCATATTATTGATTTCTGAAGGTCATCTTCAAAATGGTCCTATGTGGTCAGAGCAGAAGGTCAGTAGTGGACATTACAAAAGGGGTCTTGTCTGCACAGTTCAAGGCAGTAGATGGGCTATTCCAAAACAGGATTTACAAGGGCAGGAATATTGCTGTCCGAGAGATAGCATGGTCCAGGTTTCTTTGAAGAGATCTTGTTTCCTCCCTCCTCATTCTGCCCCACCCCAGTGTCTTATCTCATTAGTGTCACAGCAATTTCCACTGGAGTGTCCGATCTTATTGCTGTCAATATGTACATAAGAAAAGAGCTTCCACATGCCTCTGGTTTCCAGGGGCAGGCTTCCCCTCTTCCATGCAGCAGTGGGTGGGTATGGAGCCTAAAACCTTCTCACTCTGATGTCCACCTGTCTCGGCGGAGGGCGTCTCAGTGGGTGCTTTGCTACTGGGCATTTGGAACCGGGATGAAGGACAGGAGTTGGAGTTTTGCAACCAGACAGAGAAACTGGGGGGTAGAGGGGTGGTCATGCTGCTTTTTCTCCTTCAGAAAGTAACAGCTGCAACTTTGAGATTATTTGCAGTAAAAGGTGGCACCTAATTCAGAAATGCGACATAAGCCCCTGAATTTGTGTCAAAACAAAGGGGTGGCAGGGGAGAATGAGGAAGGAGAAGAAGAAAATAATGTCTGTTCACAATCACTGGTAGTGCAAAGGGCATGAAAACAACTGAGAGCTCAGCACATATAGGTTCTAGGAGCTGATTGATTTTTGAATGCATTTGTAAGGCTTTAAATAGAGCTGGGGTCACACCTCTCCTCCTTATCAATGGGGAAGAGGCAGTACACATTCCTTATCACAACTTTTCCTTCTTGAATGTTTAAATCCACAAAAATCCTGTCCCATAGTGTGGTTTGGGTCAATCAGTTCTCCAGAGCATCACCACATGAGATGACATGTAAATTTGGTGTTCCTCTTTCCTTCCTCCTCTCGCCCCTCAATGCCATCTCCAGTACATGCCGCAGGAGAGAGGAGACAGAAATAGATGCGTAGCAGGAATTATCAACCACCCAATACTGTTCGGGTAACTGCAAGAAGAGCAGTCAAGTCTCTGTTTGGGCTTGTTAGATTCTCTTGACACATTTTAGGCACTTTCAAACCCAGAAAAAAAAAATTGAGACCTCGTTTATACTATATCCATTATCTGCATAGCAATGTGTCTTTCTTCACACCTTCCATGGCAACATCTGTGACAGTTAAGTGCCTCCTCATCTACCGGCACCTCCCCTAACCAGAGTTATGGAAAGCCAGGGGTCTGTCCATGAGGAACTGGCCCCAGTATCTTTTAAAAACAAATTAAAACAACATGTTAAACCCCTCTCTCTTCCCTCTGCCTCCCCTCTTCTATAGCCAACGAGATTTCTGGTATCGAACTTCAAACAAGGGCAGTAAGAACAAAAAGGTGTATTGCATCTTTCAGTAAATTCACAGTCTGTCCAGTTCACCCAGTTCCATCCTCCGCCTGAGAGCAGCAAGTTGCATGTAGTTAAAAACAGTCCGATCCAGTTCTGAATTGTAAACAATGCAGCAGGAACATCCATCTACTGGCATTACCAAATCTGAGGTGCAAATGGGCTGATCTTCAGTCTTATACCTGACAGGATATAAAACAGTACCAGGAATGAGAAGGAAGCACAGTGTACAGAGTACTACAGAATTAACAAATTGTAATTCAAGTACATCAAACCCAAGTAATTTATGACAGACATTATTGCAGTTTATCAGCATTCAATGTTTCTGTCTGGGTCTAGGGATAGAGAATCGCCAGCAAACAAGTCATCCGTATGACGAGTAGCCTCTCCACCTGGAGTGGAGGGAAGAATGCTTAGGATAAAGCTCACAAACCTGCGTGTGTAACATTAGGTCTCTGTAAAAAGCATATAGCTTCTGTTCAGAAGCATTAAGCCTGAATGACATAGAGAGAGGTTTCAGGGGCTGTCATTCTGAAAATAAAAATACCTGTGGAGATGCCTGATGTAAATCTGGGAGTCTAGCTTTAGTCAGCAAGATCTTCAAAGGAAGACACAGTATCTAGGTCAGTTAATGGGAATGAAGCGTCTAGCTGTCATTTTTATCTTCGAAAATCCTTTCAGTTAGTCTTAAACTTTTGTTGGTTGACTTGTGTTCCAGCTTGCCTTCAAGAGGAAACCTGATATCCACCCTGGTAAGGGAGACAGAATCCTGCAGATCTGACTTCACAGATCACTGCTATATGGCATAGAAAGCTTCACTTTCCTGGAGTCTGAAGCTACCTGAAACTAATCCTGAAGATGGCTACGCTGAAGAAGGCAGGTACTGGTTAATGTTAAATTGCCTTTAACTTCCACTGGGCCGTTTTCGAAAGGGTCAGTAATTCTTCAGGAACTGGTCAGTTCCTCAGTAGCTGCTTTTTAAGGTATTTGGATTCTTCAATGTTAGGCCCATCCTTTTTCATGTATTGTCCTCTGACTTTTCAAAATAACATCAAAATCTGGATGTTTATTGATAACATAAGAAACAGCATTAACTTCTGTTAGAGAATATATAGCTGGAGCTTAACTCTAAGAGGCTGAAATTACCTTATTACAGACTTCCTAAATGGCTGTTATGCCTATCCACTTACACATTCAGCTACCTTCCATCTTCTGCAGGAAATCTATAGCTTTGTGTGTTTCCCCAAAACACAGATTATCCATTACAACCATGGGAAAAAACATGGCTTTACATCAATGGGCCTATGAATGATTATGATTTCAATTTTTGATGACTGCCTATTTAATAGGAAATAATCCTGCAATGTACTGAATTTTTATGTGCTGATGTTCTGTGCTTTCATCTCTCGCTGATTTATGTAAGTGCAAAATCTCTGGTTTAATAAAATCAGAGCTGCTAATTTCTTTATTTTTCCCACTGTATACTCTGCTTGGACACTCCTATGGGACACAGAAGGGGAGAGGCGAATGCTGGGAAGCATCTGGGATCCCCGGAAATAGAGTAACCCTCTCAGATGCAATTCTAAAGGGTAATTTGCCCCTTTGCTTTGTGAATTTATGCCTGGTCACCTGTGTACTTACCTCTGTGGCTATGATGCACTCATTCCTTTCTTCTGTTATCACAAAGACGGACTGGTACATTGAATCCCTCGGAGAGCATATCGCCGATATCCTACATTCTGGCTTTTCACTAAGGCAGAGCAGAGAGAAAAGAATGTTACTTGACTACTAACAAGCCTGACTCTCAAAATCTACTATGAATATGGAGGGATGGAATGAGATAGCCGTGGAGGTGTGAGGGGGAGCGCAGAGGATGAAGTTTCACATGTTCTATGTGATGGTAGGACATTATACTAGAAAAGGGGGAGAAGGAAATAGCTATTGTCTTCCTATGCTTCTGCCGTGTCCAACCTAACAGCACACTTCTCAGTGAAACAGCCACAAGCAGACCAGACAAGACTTTCAGTACACATATCAGAAGACTGACGAGCCAGTGAATACCTGCCCTTTTCTCTTTTTTTGGAAAGAGTAGCTATTTTTACTCTATCATTCTTCTCAGTAAGCAGATCATTTTGCCTTCTTAATAAGCAAAATACTGATTTTTAATCGCTATATGCTTTAACCTCAAAAGATATTGGAGGAAGAAAAGACACTTCTTACTTCCACCACTGGACTAGCCACTCCTGTTCCCCTTCTTCACAGTGCTCGTACTAGTGGCACCCTGCACAAACACTCAATTTCACTGACTTAGCCAAGGATACCACTTGGCTGTGACACACACACTCCAGTATGAAGATTCCTGGCTTTGATCTGGTTTGTTTTGTATAATATCCCCTCGAGGATCTTTTTTCCCCATATTTTTTCATCTGCTTCTAGACCGGTATGAAGATGAGGGGCCGTAAGAAAGAGTAGAAGGAAGACTGCATTCTCACCTGTGTAGTCGGAGGGGAGACTTCTCTCCTAAACACTTTTCACTTTTGTAATATTTGTCTTCCTGTGTGCCTCTACTCGTCAGGTCTTTTACCAGATTGTAGTCCAGTTTATGATTCTTGGGTTTGTAGTTTGATTTCTCCAGCCCGCAGTCCACTTCGAGGTCTTTATTTTTATTGGTATTTTTGAGCTGGGAAGCTGGGATGAGATTGTCCTTCTGGAAGTCAGACAGGTTGTTCATTGTCTCCGAGTCCTGCTCTGGATGCATCCTCATCTGCCTGATGACCATTGCTATCATGCAGAACAGTATGAGCAACGCCACCAGCCCCACGCCCATGGATATAGCAATCCAGGGGACTGGTTTGGGCGGAAGTGTAACGGGCACTGAATAAACCGGCAACTCGCAGCGGTTGCCCATGAAGCCGGAAGGACAGTAGCAGACAAAGTTGGCACTATAAAGTCCACTGTAGCATGTGCCTCCATTCTCACATGGCCCAGAAGCACATTCGTCTCTGGTTTTGATGTCACAGTTTCTGCCACTGTAGCCTGGCAAGCATGTGCAGGTGTAATCGTTAATCAGATCGTGACAAGTTCCTCCATTGGAACATGGGTTTCTTGCACAATCATTGATGTTTATCTCACATTTCTGACCAGAGAAACCAGGCCGACAACGACACACACGAATCTGACCAAGGTAAAAGCAATTACCATCTGAGGAAAAAAAAAGGAAAATTAAAAAAATTAGTCTCCAATGCACTTCACTTGGAAACCTAAACCTCTTCCTGGTAAGCATTTTATACTATCTGAAGAAGAGGGAGGTTATTTTACAAAACAACTGCACATCTAAATTTCCTTCTAGTTTGCCTACTTGCATCAGCATGCCTTAAAAATATGCCCCTTCTAAATATGTAATAAAGTTAATTTAATTTACTTAATTCTGCTATCTTCCCCATCACCTGATAAACCTCGTGCATTGTTTTGTTGTATAGAAAATGCCAGTGAAAGGCCTCCCTCAGCAAGAGACCAAAATTAGGGTAGATGTGGGGGAGAGGGACTAATGTTAGAGGAAGAGTAGAGGTCAGATTGGATTTCTATCACTTCTGCACTGAAAAGCACGAACAAGTCAGACACGAGATTTTTTGATAAAAAGACTCACCATTTGCACACGGGTTGCTTGTGCACCTGTCTACTTTTTTTTCACAGTTTGACCCTGTGAAGCCAAAAGGGCAAACGCAAGTGTAGCTGGCCCCTTGTTCTTTTTCCAAGCACGTGCCGCCGTTAAAGCACGGAGAATCTATACATGTCAAAGCGCTGTGCTCGCAGTGAGTGCCGTAGTAGCCAGGGGGGCACAGGCAGTGATAACCATTCTCCATATCCTGCAAAACACAACGTTAGGCCACTGTTATTTGATGCCGCCGAATGATAGCTGCTTGCATGCTTCTTTTTGGTCGGCAGCAAATGCTGTTCTGTCCCTTCGCATCCGTACTCTGATGTGGCAAAAGCAACATTTGGGGGGTAAATAACCGCTGGCTGGGCTGTGAGGGGTAGAGCTGTGAATTGGCCATACTCGGTGTGCAGGAGTAATTCTGCATCTACACAATGCGTGGTTGTAGATCTACAATCTAGGTAAGCAGAGCAGATGCAGTAGTAGGGAACCTACAGGCAATGGGCAAAAACATTCCTAACACCGCTACTGTCTAATGGGACCTCCACGGTCCTCCCAGAGCAGAATGGCATGTGTTGACCTACACAGCTGTGATCAGGCCATTTATCCTCAGCATGAGAGCCCATTTTTTCTTTAAAAGGGCTTACATTGCTTTAGCATGGATTAGTCCCACCACTTAGATCACAACAAAACTGTTTCGTTTTTCCAAGTACTGTATGTCCAAGGCTGTGGGAGAAGGGAGCTAGGGTCTTGCGCCATTAGCTTTAATCTAAACATGCACTGGATTACATTTGATATCTATAATCGATCAGTCTTTATCAACAGGCAGAATCAATCATTGACTGGGTCCAAAAACACCCTGAAACACTAGACTGCAGGAAACTAAAAATGCAGAGCCCTGTTTCACAGCGTGTTTCAGCTGATTGCCCTCATATTGTCTGACACTACACGCCCATAGCAGAATGCAGAAGTTTTCTCTTTTTTGCTATGAAAATACAGATGTAACAGATTTCTGTATGAACCTTGGTTTGAGCAGCTTACATTTTACAGACCTGCTCCCTCGCCAACCTTGGATCTTGCCAAGCTCTCCTAATGTCTGCCACAGAAACCTAAGGATCAGTTGACTAGTTCTAATCTAGATGATACATCGCCTCCTGTAACAGACTTCCTCCCCTGACACCTCTCAGGAAGGGTTCAGTTTGATAGTTGTGAGCATCAGTAATGAACCTGTGTACTATCGAATTCCTGTTCTGTTGTTACAGAACCATTTCTGAAAAGGTATACCAGGGCTTGCTTCACACAAAAACTTTACATTTAAAATGCCCTTACCGTGCAACTGCCGCCATTCCTACAGGGATTGCTGTCACACTCGCTGATCTCGTGTTCGCAGTCAACACCGGTGAAGCCAGGTTTGCACGAGCACGTATAGCTGCCCTGGCCAGTGTTCATGCAAGTCGCTCCGTTTTTGCATGGTCTGTGGTGAGTGCAGTAGTTCAGATCTGCAAAGATACCGGGAGTTAGAGAAAATGTCATTTACATTAATAAAAAAAAATTAGTCAACAAAAAAAGACAGACTTTTCAATAAAGCATTTCATTTTGCTATCAATAGGAATACTGGAGGTGATTATCCAGGTTATCCCTGCCCATGGCAGGGGGGTTGGAACTAGATGATATCTAAGGTCCCTTCCAACCCAAACCATTTTATGATTCTGTGATTATCAGTAGTAATCAGATGTTTCAGATTATCATCGATTTTAGATATTTCCCTATGTCCATCACTGTAATACGTGAGCTCTGAATTTTGAGACCTGATAAAAATTTAGCTTTCCCTTTTTTGTGTGCATAAACCCATTAGCTGCAGTGGGATTTAGATGCCAAGTTGGAAAACGTATTTCATAAGCGTGTGTTCTCCAAAAGACACCACGGCATTAGAGACGCTTTGTGCACAACGTGTCACATACTAAACCAGCAAGCCCCATCTTTACAAGGTGTGCTCCAAGGCACATTCTGGGGAGGCCGGGAGGAAATAAAGATGTTTAGGCTTGGAGATTTAAACAAACACTAGAAATCTTTTATTGTTTATTTACCATGCTCTTGTGTTATGAATGTTGGTAGTTTAAACTGTCTAAATGCTCTGCCAAGCTTGACAGTCCTTTTTTTTTTCCCCTTTAAATTGGAGACAGAGGTTAAGCACACAAGTTCATAGGACATAAGCCGAAAATCTTCATATGCTCTATAAATACCATAGAGTAATTGGAATACAACCAGTTAATAGATAACTACAAGCAGAAAAAAATCTTCACCTTTACTTTTCCTGCTTAACTCAGACTTCGCCATCTTAATCCTATAACCGCCTTGAAACCACTTAGCTTGCTTTGAGCGCTTAATGATCTCAGTGCCAGCAGTGCATATATGGCCTTGAGGACATGACTGCTCAGCTGGCTACGGTTCAGTGATTCAAGGGGTTGAATAGGTGGAAGTGGTCTGGTGTACCTTAAAATGGAACCTGTACTTTTCATTCTTGCTTACATGATTTTGCTCTCATGCTCCAGACTTATCACATGAGTTAACTTCCTTGTATGCAAAATAAGGAAAGCCCAAATGATGGTGTTTACTGCTGCTGGAAACTGTTTAGTAAATTGTTATAGTTGTACAGGGAATAAGTTAAACTTAGCTGGAGCAGGCAGAAAACTTGCCCGTTCAACTCTCATCCATGTTGTTGTTTTTTTCCAAAAGAAAAACTGCAGCTACCAAAAATATTTTCTTGTTTTCAACCAAAATTACTACAAATATGGCTATGTAAGACAGCCGCGGTACAAACTGATGCTTGTGATCCTGTACCTTGTGGAAATTCAATTCTAGATCTGAGGGGTCAGATTCCTTAGTCCAGAACTGAGGAATACCCAATCTAGAGCCATAAGCACAGCCTTCAAAACTAACCTTGATCACAGAAGAGGCCGCCCCATCCCTCATCACAGATGCACTGCCATTGTGTTTTACAAGTCCCATGACGGCAGCCTATGTGGGGAATGCATTCATCGCAGTAGCGGCCTTGCCAACCGGGACGACAGCTAAAAGAAAAGTCAAATTAAAACATTAATGACTTGGAAAAGAGTTTAAGTTTCTATTACAAGGTGACATTTTAACTGAAGTTCAGATTGCAATTGCCGTCTACTCACATGCACTCTCCAGGCTTGTTGCAATATCCATTCTGTTCAGTACACCCAGACAGACAGATGGCTGGAAAGAGAACATAAAAAAGCAGAAATGTTTAGGTAAATATACATGGCCCTACAGAATGCACTCTTAAATGGGGAAATGCCAGCTTTAAAAAAAATAATTTGAAAACCAATTTTGCACTTTCAGAGCTTTGTTTTAAAAATTCTCAGTACGGGGAGTTCTGGAGCAGGAGGAAGTGAACAAGGAGAGCCAACATTTGACAAGTTGTCCTTTAGTTTTTCTGTTTATACAACAAACATGAACTCTTGCAACTCTTGCTAGAAAAGGAGCAAGCCAAGGCAGCTTTGGCTTGTGCTAACGAAAGACTGAAAAAAACCTAACGGGACACCGAGCCCACAGCAAAGATCCCCACGACCACACCGCAACACCTGTCTCGTCTCCTCTGGCAGCAGGAACGCTGGAAGCGTTTGTGTGGGCAAGCTGCTAGCATTTTAACTTGGAATAGATACCGCTGATTGAGGGATATCAGCCAAGATCCTTCCTCTGCTAGCTCTCTCTTCGCTGCTAACGCTCGCGGAGGTGAAGCACAGCATTGGTAGCTGCAGCCAGAAGGGCCAAAGTCCTCAGCATGGGGCTTTCTCTCTCCAGGCAGGGAGCAGAAAGGTCAGTGTGAAACCATGTCCCCAAGCGCCTGCCTGCCAGGTAACGGAGCACAGCGCTTTGTCACAGCGCTGTTGAAACCCCTGTGCTTTAAGGACTGGCCGCACAGGCAGATACACCCAGGGTCAGGCCAGCTGGTGGAACTGGACCAAGGGACATGCTTTTGGGTCCCAGGTCCCTTTGACAAACAAGCTCCCTGATGCTTTGGGGGGTTGCATCTTCTTGAAGGCCTCCTGTGTGGCATCCCTACCCACGCTAACGCCCCACGGGTGAGGGCCTCAGGAACCCACCGCCTGATGCCACATTGGCCGTTGGGACACTTACGCTCGGTGCAGTACTCTCCGG